GTGTGTGTGTGTGTGTGTGTGTGTGTGTGTGTGTGTGTGTGTGTGTGTGTGTGTGTGTGTGATACCTCTGGGTTTCCTCACAGAAGATGCCACCTGACAGCAGAGGTAAACATCTCCTGTCCCCCTCCTCTTCTCCTACTTCACACTTCCTGACCATATAAGGGCAGTTCCTGTGGGGATGAAATTCTAAACATCTGTATGGTAAATAAACACACAGATCTTTGAATTATAAAGTGGAACAGAAGTGTCCTGATATCGTATTTAATGAATATGCCTCAATGTATTACAAAACTGTAAATGTGCTTTTGAATAAGCCAAACTTTAGCACTGAACAGAATCCAAATAAAACACAGTTTATAGTTTTCAATGGCATTTTTAATTTCTAACTGACTTTTCAAACATTTATTTATGCTAAGGACCGTTTACAAAAAACACAATTTTAAAAAGAATATGAAAGCACTGCAGAAATTATAATTCCTCTAAAAACACAGATTGAACACTGAGAGCTGAATGAAATTAAATTAGATTTGCTGAAACTAAGCTGTCAAGTCAAAGCTGAAACAAGGTTGACAGGAAGTAGTTCCTCCTCCTGCTCGCTGGGTGTCGCTGTGACTGTAAACATCATCTCCTTCCTGTCCTGTCTGCCTGAACACGATTACATCTTTATGCTGGTAAGTGTCATAAAATCATTATCTGTTGTGTGGTTTATAAGGGTTGTTTCCTCGCTGTATAGGAGTTGACTTTGATCCGAAGAAGAAGCGGAAAAGGCAAAACTATGTGTACATTGTTAGCAATCAGAGACACAAAACCCGGTGCGTCTTTTATCGGACAGCGGCTTTAAGACTTTAGTTTTTCGTTAACGTGAGCTTTAAACGGTTTGTATTCCTGTAAATTAATTTATACTGATTTAAAGTCAATTATAAATGTTTTTAGTTTGATTTTACTGCTGAGAAGTTGGAGTAAGGTTTATTTAAGCTAGATGTTAGCTGTTAGTTTTGATAACTTTTATTTTGCTGCACAGCTGAGATTTGATTTTCACGTTAATATTTTATCACTTTATGTTTCTAGAGTTTGATCATGAAGAAAGAGGCAGTGCAGGCGGCAGCCAAAGAGTTTCTGCAGTTCGTCAACAAAGGAGTGTCTCCATATCACGGTAAAGTCTGAAAAAAACAACATTTTTTTATTATTTAATTTGTTTGGTTCAAAACTAAATTGTTCAAATGAACCTTCTGATTGCACACGAATCTCTAGAAGCACATGTTGGGAGGTTTTAAATAAAACATTTCTAATCAAAAACAAAAAATAAGTAGGTCCTCTGGACGGGTTCTTCTTTAGTGAAACGTTTCGTCTCTCCTCCAAGAGACTTCTTCAGTCTGATGAGTTTCAGGTGAACTCAGCCTCATAAGCACTGCCTCCACATGGACAAACAGGTTAGTCACATGCAAGAGAGGACCATCGACTAACAATAGGCTTGATTAGCTCTATTGTTCATAGAGGGTCATGTGCCCCATCTGACTTATTGGTTTGGATGCTGTGGTTCTTAGGTGTCGTGTTATGTGTATGTAGTGAATGTAAGCGGGGCTCAAAGTCCCTTGTTTTTGTTTTTTCCCTCTTTGTGTTGGGTATCATTCGGGCTCTGATTCACACCTTTTGCTCACAGGGGGCTGAGTCATACTTGCAATAACAGCGTTGCAGGAGGAGGACAACTGAACACGTAGGCCTCCACCTCTGTTTAATGATGGATGGTTTTTCTTCACAAAAATGGCTTCCTTTACTCCTCTCTCAAACCAGCGTTCCTCTCTATCAAGGATGAGAACATCTTCATCACTGAAAGAGTGACCGCTGGCCTGTAGATGAGTGTAAACTGCAGAGTCCTGACCCGATGATGTAGCTCGTCTGTGTTGGCTCATTCTTTTGAACAGTGGCTGTTTTGTTTCTCCAATGTATGACTGATCACAGTCCTCCTGGCACTTAAAGGCACAGTGTGTAGGATTTGTTGTTTTCAGCGACATCTAGTGGTTGAGTGGTTGAATCATCCTCCCTGGTCCTCCCCCCACCCCCACCCCCCGCTTCCAAACACAAAGGAGTTGCTACGGCGTCTCTCAGGTGTCAAAAAACCTTTGATAATTCCAACCGCGATGTCTACCAGCAGCTTCAGGGCTAGTGATGTTTCAAGTGGTAAGATTATGAGCTTTAATAAGTAAAATKATCCCAGCTACAATGACAGACAACAAATATTACATTTATAGTATTACAACTAAAACCGTTTTTGACGCCGCCACCGCAGTTTGTCCTTCGTGAGCCTTCGTAGGCAAGATGGCGGCTGCCTTTGTGACGACCCGCAACCATGGAGATATAAACAGCTTTTTATAAGGTAAAAATAATAAAACAAGGTCTTTGTCTGCAATGATTAGACATGTTTTTTTTATTTTTGTTATTAGTGATTATCCCAGTTTCGGCAAAAAGAATTGACAAAATCCTACACACTGTGCCTTTAATACTATATTACTCTGTTTTTGCCGGGGAACTTGATCTTTGGGGTGAAATAATCTTTGTCATAACGTGTTTTTGGGGTTTGAAAGCCACTGGGACGTCATGTTTAGAGAATAAACGTCTCAGTTTCTCTGAAACTCCCGCATGACGACTGGTTTGGGCCTGGGTTTGGGGTCTTCATTTTCACCTGAAGGTTGTATGGAATCCTGTCTGTGTTTCCTGTCTGCTTTCAGGAAAGCCCAGTCAGGATAACCACACTGCTCCAGGGCCTGTCKTGTGTGTGATTTCTCTTTCTGCCTGGCTCCTGGGTTTGTAGGGACACTGTCTGCTCTGTGGTACAGAGTCCTGATCACTCCTAACTTGTGTTCCAGTGGGTGGTGGGAGTCAAAACGCAAATACTGGTTTGTGTGGGTGGGTTTGTGATACACGTCAGTTTCCAACCGTCCTCCATCAGAAACTGAAACATCACAATCCAGGAACGCCAACCTGCCATTTTTTACATCCTCTCGTGTGAACTTAATATATTCATCCACAGAGTTGATGTGATCAGTGAAATGTTGGACTTCCTGGGCTTTAATTTTAACCCAGGTGTCGTCAACATATCTGAACCAACTAAAGAAGAACCCATCCAGAGGACCTACTTATTTTTTCTTTTTGATTTATTTTCTACCTGGATTACTGAGATGAATCAGGACAAAACATTTCTAAGTTTTACACATGAATGCACCACAATGTGCAGAACCTAAACTGTGGGATTTGTTTCCATAATATTAATTAGAGTGACGTCATCACGAAACAAAACAATTGTATGTTTGGCAGGCAAACATAAATGTAAAAACACAAAAGGGTATCACTAGCCTTGCTACATTTAGCTTCACCTACCCTTTTACTAGTTTTAGCTTGTATCTAGCATTGTGCTACTTTTAGCTAGGGTTAGACTTCTTGCCTCTAAGCACATTTTTATACAAGATGATGTTTTATATTTGATGTTTTCCAAACTGCTTGAAGCTGCTTTTTAAATTAATGTTTTGCTTATTTAGAATTTAATGACATCATTTCAAAGATGTACGAACAGATCATCAGAGAGGCGGTAAATGATGTCTTAATAATTAAAGGATAAATCTTAAAGAAAGCAGAGACATTATCTTGGCTTTTAACTCCAAATCCAGCTGATATAACCAATCCTGCCACAGACTTTTTTTTTCTCTACGGCATGCTTCAATATTTGTTTTTGTGTCTATTTCACATTTTTTATTGCGCATTTGTTTTATCTACTAAATCTAACCGTCTTTGCTTATTTTTTTTTCCTGTGAAACACATTTAAACACATTTAAATCTGAAGTTTGTCTGTTTTAAACTCTGGCTTAGAGTTCAGAGGTAAGAGGATGTGTTTGATAAGACGGTGTGTGTAATCAGAGATGAGCGTCTGTCAGCAGTAACTTTCACATACAGAGACGCTGCTCGAATTATCTGACGAGCTCAAGATAAGATAAATGTGAATTAAATATTGCTTGATGTCTCGTATTTCTTCATTCCCTGGAGTCTCCATTCTACAGAAAAGAAGCAAAAAAAAAACTAGTAGTATTCTACAGTTGGATAAAACTTTGAAATTATTATAAAAGTAGGAGAGTCCTGATGCAACTTTTTCACATCTAATAAGGATATCAATATTGTGGCCTGGGGTATTGGCCAATACCAATATTGACCCAATACCATATCAGAACTAATCCTATGTACTTTTATTGTTTATTTTGTAGTGTGGAATATTAAAAAACTTGATCAAGTCAAACAGTAAACGTTAATCAAGAACAAAAGATATGAGGAAAAAATGACCCATTTAACTATTGAGTTACTTACATTTTATCAAACATAAGAAAATTATAAAATTAAATAAAATAAGCAAAAAAATTACAAAGAAGACAAAGAAGCATATTGCTACTTTTATTTTTTTTAGACAAGGTTACATACCTTTGATTAGCATTTTACTACTACTAGTTTGCTTTTTTTTGGTTAACATTCTGCTATGTTTACCATTTAGATAGTATTTTGTAATGTTTATCTTTCAGCTTCTTTTTCAGCAGATTTCATGAAGTCAAACAGAGTCACACAGAGTTTTCTGTTTAATTCTGGCCTTTTTGTTCAGTGGTTGAAGAATGCCGGCAGCATCTGTTGGAGGCCGGATTCATCGAGCTGAAGGAGACGGAGCAGTGGGACATTATACCAGCCAGCAAGGTGGGTCAGGGTCAAAGGTCAGCGGTCCTTACCAGATTAGTTTTTATTGTTTTAAATGTATTTTTCTTTCTGCAGTACTTCATAACCAGAAACTTCTCCAGCATCATCGCCTTCGCGGTAGGCGGACGTTACCTGCCAGGAAATGGTTTCTCCATGATCGGAGCGCACACTGACAGCCCCTGCCTCAGGGTGAGACCCCGCCCACTCCCAGCTGTCAATCACAAAAAGCTGTCTTTGTTTTTATCGTACTTTGTTTGACTGGGACCATGTTAGCGTGATGCATCTCTTTTTGCAGAAAGTCATGTTGAAGATGGCTGCTTAGTTACAGGTTTAGACCACTGAAGATGGACCAGAGTTATTAAAGCTAGACAAAGCAGAACACTTGGTAAAAGTGACTAAACCCTGGATATGAGTAGGAAAGTCTGGCTAAAAGTAACAAAACATTGGTTAAAAGCTAAAAATAGCAAAAGACTAGTAAAAAGCTAAAAGTATCATTAGAGCCAGTAGCTGAACAGATTTCAAACAATGTTTTTGAAAATACAATTAAAAAAATCTTTGAAAGTTTTTGTAAATGAAGTTAAATATTTCAATAAAAATAAAATACAGTGACATAAAACAAAGGCCAGAGTCCTTGTTGCCATCTCCTAAATAACAACAACATATGAAAGGCTAAGATGGCTTAAAATATGTAAAAGTAATTAGATTGAAAATATGGACGAAAACGTAAAAAACAAGAAAACAGCAGAATAAACGCCTCAGTGGAGTTTCATGTGAAGAGTTGTTGTTTTTTTTTTTTTTTTTTAGTTAGTTTTTAAGTTACCAGCTGTAGGAGCTTCCCCACAGGATGGTTTGGAAATACTGTATCAGGCCAACATCTCTGCTCATTTTTATCACATTTAATGGAAACTAATAACTATTTTGGAAGGTTTTTCTGTCTTATAACTAGGGGTGTCCCGATACCAGTTTTTTCAAGACTGAGAACAAGTACGAGTACTTCAGTTTAGGTACTCACCGATACCG